GGGGGGGGGGGGGGGGGCGAAAAGACAGAGACTCGGACAGGGAGAGGTCGGCCCGGAGGCCCGGGCATAGGGCAAGCATGCATAGAGTGGAGGGGAGAGGGAGAGAAAGAAAGAGGGACAGACAGACAGACATGTGTATGTGTGTATACTGGGCGGCAGACAGAGGGCAGCAACGACAAACAAAGGCACGGGGTCTCACTGCTCGGGGGGCGGGGGATGCGTGGGTGCGCGAGTGGTGGCCGGACGCGACCCCCGGCTTGGGCCTGGAGGCCGCGCGATCGGCGTCCGGAAGGCCTGCGACAATGAGCGCCGACTAACATGGGCCGCCGGGGCGGCTGATCCCCCGGCCACAGGGGATGGACTGAAGGAGGCTGGTCGATAGCCCGACCGGCCGGAGGGAGTAGACAAGGGGGTGAAGCCAGAGCGCTGGGCCTGCCGCTGAAGGGCCCGCGCCGCCGGGGACATGAGGTGCAAGGGGGTGGACGGCGTGCGCAGGGAAGTGGGAGTCAAGTGAACCGGGGTCCGGCTGCCAGCGCCGGAGCCGGCCGTCGAGCCGCCTCCGCCCGAGGAGGAGGAGGAGGAGGCCCGCATCTTGCGCCAAAGCTCCCGGGCCACGCGATCCATGGGATCGGCCTCCGGCAGCCGATGGACGTAGGACTGGTCGCGGGTGGCCGCGGCCCCGGCGTCCCACATGTCACCGGGGCCCCCGGCGCCGGTGGTGTCCTCCGACAGGGCCAAAGGTGTGGACGCGACCACACCCCAGGTCATGATCGGCTCAAAGTGCCGGGAAGGGGACAACCGGGGGGTGCGCTCAATAAGTGCGTGGCCATTCACCTGGCCAACCGTGGCCACGCCAAGCTGCTTGCCGGATGGATCGAACTAGGTCAAGACAAGGAGGGAAAGAGACAGGCCAAGGAGAGGAGGAGAGGTTAGTGGGGGCGGGGAGGGGGGGGGGGGGGGGGTAGGCAGGGAGCTTTGGCGCATTTTGCATGTACCCTGAGTGCGGCCCCGCTTGGTGGCTCGGAAAATGGATCTGCCCCCTGCAAAGGCAGGACCACCGACGGAGAGGAGGAGGAGGAGGGGGAGGGCTCGGACTTACCAGCGCCGGACTTACCAGCGCCGGACGGCTGAGCCGGTGGAAGAGGTCGAGCAAACCGGACATTGTCATGGTGAATAACCGGCACACCGGGGGCAGTGGCACTGAGCTGCTCGGGGGGCGGCAATGCACGCGGCTGGAACATGATCGCTGTGTTGGGCGTTAGAACACGTATGCGGGCGACCGAAGCCCATATGATGAGCGAGACCGGGCACGTGGAGGGGAGAGAAAGAGAGAGAGAGAGAGAGAGAGAGAGAGAGAGAGAGAGAGAGGGAGAGAGGGGAGGAGGGGGGGGGGGGCGAACGAGCGAGCAGCAGCATGGGGCATGTACCTGAACCGAGCGAGCCTTCTCGCTCGGGGTCCTTGGGCGCCTCGAGGAGGGGCAAACGCTCACGCCGGCCCGTCAAGGAAGATGCTTCCAGCATGTGCTGCTCGAGGGTTGGTGCATCGAGGCCGAAACGCTGGGCCAGGTCGGCAGCTCGACGGACGGTCAGCCGTCGAGCCACGCCCGCATCGTAGGCGCTATCTTCGGACACATACATCGCGGCAAATGTATCGAGCGATAGGCCGGCCACATTGACCTCGGTCGGCAAGTCGTCCTCCTCGTCAATGCCCGGAGCAAGGATGCCGGAGCGCACGGATAGCGGGGCAATCGAGACATGCTGCAGGGTGGTCGGCGTGGGGGTGGCTCGGACTTGGGCCGCATTCCGGGTGGTATCGGTCCGGTGAAGACGCTGAGAGGGGGAAACAGTGCAAGACGAGCCCACGGCCGGGAGGTGAGATACTGCATGGACGCGGCAGGAGGGAGGGGCGTAGGTGGGCTGGCAGTGGGGGACGCACCGCGAGGCGCTCCTGCGCGGCGCGCTCCCGAGCTAGGGCGGGGAAGAAGTCGCGCTCAATCACCCGGGCCAGGGCACGCTCGTACAGCTCGTCCGGCAGGACAACCCTCCCCTCGGGGTCAAAGCGAGAGAAATCCTCCTCATCCATGGGATAGAGGTCCTGTATGACGGAGAGGGAGGAGCGGAAGGGGAGGCGGAAATAGAAATGGACTGAGGGAGAGAGAGAGAGAGAGAGAGAGCGAAAGAAAGGGGAAGAAGTGGGAGTGGGCGTCAAATGGAGTGTTTGTCGAGAGGCGTCTAGAAGGGGGGCTGGTCCGAGGCGCCTTAAGCCTCGCGGAGGGACCGCGATCAAAAGCGCTTGATAATGGCACCCCCATGCCCGGCCGGGCCTTATCGAGGCCTTGCCCCACCGGCTCGGGGTGGGCAGGAGTCAATGGGCGTGCGGGGCGGGCGGGGCGTGCGGGACGGGCGGGGCGGGCGGGGGGGGGGGGGGGGGGGGGGGGGGGGGGGGGGGGGGGGGGGGGGGGGGGCGGGCGGGGCGGGGGGGCGTTCATCGCGCCAGATCGCGCAGCACCACGCTTGGGCCGATCGCGCCGAATGTCTGCACATGTGATCATGTCCCAGGTATCTGCCATTCCAGAATGGGCGTGTTGGTACGCCGCCGGCGCTGCAATCCGGTGCCATGCTCCCCCGCCCTCGG